TTCATCGATGATTTAAAAACATGGGCTGAAGGCGACTGCACCGATGAAGCAAAATAGCTGCAATCAAATATAGACAAAATGAGTGTTCGTTATTCCAGATTGGTTCTAAAGTTTAATGTATCCAAATGTGAGGTCCTATACACCAGCACCCGTCAAAGGGTTTGCAAAAATAGCACTGCACTGCACGACACTGCATTAAAAGATATGGTAATGCCCAAAGATGTAGATATATGAAAAACTGAGAACTTATTACCAACAGAACATTGTAAGATGGACAGGGGGACCTTCAGGAGGCAATTAGAACGTTGTGTTAGATCAGATATGCGTTTAAAATATTCTCAGTTGAACTTTCCGGAAAAATTTTCGACGTCATCGTGAGAACCCATTTACATAACGAAATGCTGGCCTGACATCCTTGAGCAGGTACAACGGAGGCCAATGAAGAAGTTCGGCGTTCCTAAGGATTTACCCTATCAAGATAGTTTTAAAAGCTTAACACATTTTCACTATCTTACAGGTAGTGGAAGTGTAGGCTGGATATTTTAGATTATCCGCGGCTTAAGTTCCTCGCGGAGGCCACAGGATTTCTTCCAGTTTGTCTGCACAACTCCTATGCATGGCCATCCGTACAAAGTTAAAAACGAATTCATGCGGTTAGACCTCCGGACATCTTGTAAAGTTATCGGGTGGTACGACCACAGAACTCACTACCAAGCGAGGCAGTGACCGTTGATAACACTTTTGATTTTAGAAGAAGGTTGAATGGGATAATATTTGAAAACAGGTGTCTCTCACAGCGTGACAACTTACAGTCTGCTAGCTAGCCAATCTTTTTGGACCTATGCTTTTTCGGAAGTGCTTCTATTTGGACAACAATAACTCTGTTTAAATTGTGTTGTATTTTGAGCCGAATACATGTTTCATGTCTACAACTTTAATGACTGTAACTATGTAAAAGTAATTATGTATTATTTGGTTATCGAGAACACTGCATGTCACCCTTCAATATTTACTATATATGAAACTCCGGATCCCCAGTTTTAGTTTGTGTTCCAACCCGGTCAAGGCAGTAGTCACAAATGCGTACGTCAGACAACAAAGCCTAAAGAAGACTGCAAACCGATAGTTCAGACGCAACGAACAGCTCGCCCTTGAAGCAAAGGCGATCAAAATGGAAAGGGTGAGACCGGGGTAGTTGAAGGTGAGCTGAGAGAACTAACGCGTCGGCTAGAGAGTTCGAATCGGTATGTTGGCTCAAAATTCAAGACGAAGGAGTGCGACTCGGAACAATAGCGTTTCTTGCTTGAATGCAAGATTGATGACTGCTAAAGTCAGGTCAGATTAATTAATGCCAAATCCGTCTTTCAAAGTATACGATAACGCTGTTTTATTTACTGTGCACTTATATTCTCCAGCTGCGTTGTATGCGTGGCCATATTTTAGTAAAATACGACAAGGAATATAAGTTATCACGATTTACAGCTAAGTTTACTCTCTTATCTCAAATGTATGGCTTCTTCTGTGTCATTTCCCCGCTCCTCAGACTGCGGTGATGCTTATGTAATTCTACAGTACAAGTACCTACGTGGCTGTTCCTTTTTAGTTGAGAACGCAGATTAACTGAATCAGATTAAGGTATAAGGGATTTTTTTGATTAGAGTTTACATGCATGTTTTAACTGAAATAACATTTTGTCGCTATTGACGAGCTCCAATTTCAATTTCAATAAATTTAAGACAAAAAGGCCCGAGGCCCGGAGGAGTCTTTTCAAATATAGTTCAAGACAACAACTAAACTCAAACAGAACGACGATCCTCGAATGGAAGTGAGAACCGCTGACCGGTTGATAAGATGTTGTCATCCGCAGCCATAACAAAAAAGGCATCAAGACGTCATTCGAAACTGGGCACCGACTGTGCTTGTACAATATCCTCACTCAACGAGTTCCAGTCTTTGATGACAATAATAATAATAAATAAATAAATTTTATACTTTAGGCCCGAAGGGCCTCAGCAAACTTAGTGCTGTGGAAAAATAAATAAATTTGTTATTCATTGCAAACTTAGTGCTGTGGAAAAATAAATACAAAGTTGATAGCCCGGAGGGCCTCGTCATTGCAAACTTAGTGCTGTGGGAAAATAAATAAAAAGTTGACAAATGCTACTCCGTGGACAACCACATAGGCAGCAGGAGCGTTTAGTAGTGTTGGCAGATAAAATTCATACCCACCAACATATCATCGTTTTAAAATAGTAGTCAACACTCTCTGAAAACACACAGTGAACTAAGGAGGAAGCAGTGAAAAAAACGGGAAAACCGGTAATTCTGCGGCAGATGGTCTGAGCGTTGCTAGACTAGGCGAAAAGAGTGGCCTCGGGTGCGAGCGTCGTAATTTCGGGTGATAATCCAATCCAACTCCGGGAATTGTTTGAGCACCACCATGCGGAACAGAAAAATCAGGTCCCCTCGACGACGCCGATACTCCAGAGAAAACAATTTTAAACTTCGGAGACGTGCTTCATATGGAAGGCCACGGAGTTGTGGAACCATTCTAGAACCTAACCGTTGCACCAATTCAAGTGCGAGCATTTCTCCTGCATAGCAAGGAAAGTAGGCCGGGCCCGCGAACTCGATGATAGGTCAGACATAGATGGAAAAAAGCTTTTTAAATATGGCGGGAGACCACAAAAAGGTCCTTCTCAACATCCATAAAGACCGAAGCCCAGTCGCTCGAGTTTTGACTGTGTGACAGTTTGTTTTCAAATTGTCTTGGATAATGACTCCGAGGTCGCGGGCTTCCTTGACTTGTCGGAGTGGGACACCATCGAGCGACACCGTCGAGAGGACACCATCGAGCTTGACAATCAGGTCTTGCAAACTGATTGCCCATCCAGCGGGTGCATCCCGAAGACTCTGTGGAATTGCTTTAGCAAAAGAAAAGAATCTTCTGAAAGTATTTGTAGACAATAGCGTCTCGTGATCGAAGGATTCGAAGAACTCTACTTAAAACGGTTATAATTTACCCTTTGTTATCCCGCCACTTATAAATCTCGAGCCCTCGTGGTCATCTGTCCAATCAACGCTCTGAAACCTCACATCTAAAATAATGAGGCGCCAGAAGAAGGTATTCTTCTTCCTCATGAGTTGACCATGTTTAGAATCAAACAGGCTCTGCAGTTTCATATGTGAGTCAAAAACAGGCTATGCGCCGGCTGCAACTGGGGCTGTCAAACTTCAGGTATGGTTTGAGTTGTATTCATTTTTGGCTTTAGGCGTCTGTGCATCCTAAAAGGAGTTTACCCAGTTGAGCCCAAAAACAAAAAGAAAGCCGGCAGAGGGAACTCTGAACCTCGGATTTACTTTCATGCCAAAGACATCGCATTCCTGGCAAGGGAACCACTAATTGAAACGTTCCGTGCCTTGCGCATTCACCAGCGTCGTCTAAAACGTGCGCGTGAAAAGCTTGACCGCGACAAGGAATTTCGACTCCGCATGAAAAAACCAACTTATACTTTGCACCAGCTTGTCAAAGAAAGGTACCATTATTTTCGGTTGATAATATACTTTTAGATATCCTACGCGACGTGATGCTCTTCGGGATTTGAGCGATAGTCTCAACCTTCTTTTCCTGTTTTCCCGCCTACCCCGTTTGCCACAGTTTCATCCTGCCCTTATTTCTCTTTGTCGGAGATTTTGCGTGGAGTTCCTTCATTATGTGATCGCTACGCGTGCAGTTCGAAAGGTTTCTAGGCCGTTTAATTTTACCCCTATCTCTTAGGCTTTCATTAGCATAAAAGGATTCTATATCGAAGCTGTGATTGATGAAGTTTCCGTGGTTTGGGTAATCCCACATCAGTCGGCCACTCATACTCCCACTGATGTGGATTACAGATTGCTTGCAACGTGTGTGGAGTTCGATGCCACGCTCCTAGGTTCTCTATTATGCAAGTAAGCCCGCGTGTCGCTTTCGTAATTCTTAGTCTTTATAAACATTCTGGTCTTCTTTACCCACCGAAGCTTATGACATCAGCTATTTCAGATCCGGAGTCCGCATTCTGTGCTCCATCAGACGCGCAGTTTGAGGTAATGCTTCACGCATTTCTAAACCATTTTTGTAGTTTCTTTCATCTCTTTCCTTCCCTCTGAAAAGACTGGAGGAGAGTAAACAGGAACCCGCGTCTCTAGATGATCTTGTTGAACTACAGGTCTGTACTTCAGTTCGTTTTCCTTTGTTTCTTTTACAAACATACCACTCTTCTGACCACCTTTGATGTTAAATAGCCAGCAGACGCAGCCAACGATATGTGTAAAATAAACCTTTTAGTAAAACCTGCCGACACCCATCTGCTTCCTTTCGAAACTACAAACAATCTTAGGCAGAGAACCCTATCTGTCTATACTTTATTCGGTAAATTTTGACACTGGATTCCCAGGTCGTCGTCAGACTTGAGAAGAATGTGAAAATTTACTGTCTATACTTTGTTGGTGGCACCAGTTATTGGTTTCACGACCAAATTCTATGGTTGCTGCGAAGCGCTATTATGTGATTATTTCAGTGTCCTAAAGGAACCGTTGGGAAGTCAAGAAGTGCGATCGGTTAAGCATGCTTAAAATACTGCGATACACTTAATTTCAGACCATCGACGATTCAGTTACCGCTGCTGTAAACAAACAAGCCCAAACTGAACGAATCAAACATCTTTTTGAAAACAAACGCTTCTTCTTAAACCGTGAGGTCCCAAAAGAAGTTCTCACTTTGCTGATTCGGTCCTGCGGTGGTGAGTGCTCGTGGGACGTATCGTCCGGTCCCGGGTCAACGTTCCTTGAAGATGATGTCCGGATTAATTACCAGGTCGTTGATCGATCAATGAAGGAAATGAGCGCCAACCGGTAGGTGGTATTTTTGGCTATGATCCTGCTGTTCCTATGCTTTTCATTACTGGTCCACCGTGTAAGACCTATCCACGACGAAGGAAAGTTCTACCCATTATACACGTACATAAAGCCTTAGTTAATTTGACTGATCGTACTGAGTGAGGCTTAGTGATTATCGACGCTAGACAAGTTTTAAATCGTGTTGGCGAAATAAACAAGGTATCGTAAGGACGATAATTGAGGCCTTATGAGTCAAATACAAATTTTCCTGTAATCTTTCCATGCAACAATATTCAATATACAATAGTCTTTTTAGATCCCTCTTCTTTGTTAAACATTCCAGTACCTACTGACCATTATGAGTCGGTAGTAATAAACGAAACGGGCATGTACAACGTCTTTTACTCTTAAAGCGGCTTTGAAATATCTCAAAGTCTTACTGCATCACAAAACTCAGCTTCTCCTAAAGTTGTTGATTCTCTTAGAATGCACATCCATAATTGAATGAAGCTGGCACATTTAGGCCAGTTAATAGGAAATTCATATTCATGATCAATGTTCCTCCTACTTTAGTTTCAGCAAAGATCGCATTTCTACATACTGGATTCTACGACAAAAATGTTTATCTGTGTTTTCGGTTTGCTTTCTCGGCTTTTTAGTCAAGGCATTTGAAAGCGACCACTCGTCCCGACTGTCAACTGACTAGTTTTTTCCCTCCTAATTCTGAACAAACTTATCTGAGGGTCAAACAGTTTTAGATTAACGATCAATACCATGGTCTTTGTTGGTGCTTCTCTTTCTCTTGTGAGACCACAGTCCACGCGGCTCAAAACTTATTGACCTAGACTCAACTGTTTTGCCGTACTATCACCCATTTCCGATACACCTGTTTTAAATCTCGTTTTTTTCAAGCCCCCTTCTCAGGGAATTTGTTAAGGTTTCTAGGCAGAGTAAACTAGGTAGTAAAACAGCCAAATGCCCTAGCCTAATTGTCACTAATACGTTGCATTTCTAGTTCTCCTGTCACCATTAAGTTCATTAGGATCTTACAAAAACTCTTCTTACTCACATCTATTTCGTTCCCAGCTCCTACGTCCAACCACAGTGGGTATTTGATTCCCTTAATGC